GCTACATTGTTGCCAAGCCATTTTTGCTTAGTGTCACATGATCAGAATTATCATTATTTGCGTGATGAGTATTTTTGGGTAATTTCTGTATATAAATTGTGATTAACTGCACTTTACTTGCATGAAATATTTGAAGGGCCATTTTAAACAGTCTTTCTTAAGGAAAACACAAAGCAATCGGTTTACGATCAAAAGTAAAGATTTTCGAAGAAGATGGCAGCATACCTTACAAGCAACTGGCCAATATTTTTGACGCTGCTTGCACATACCAGCCACATTGCTACAAGCTAAACAAATTACGTGGCTGTTTTATAATACAAATAATGAAGCTCTTTTTCTTTTTTTTTTATTCGTAACTTATGCAAAGTGCCAACCACAGTTCACGTCACTATGCCCCGTCGCGGTGGTCTAGTGGCTAAGGTACTCGGCTGCTGACCCGCAGGGCGCGGGTTCGAATCCCGACTGCGGCGGCTGCATTTCCGATGGAGGCGGAAATGTTGTAGGCCCGTGTGCTCAGATTTGGGTGCACGTTAAAGAACCCCAGGTGGTCTAAATTTCCGGAGCCCTCCACTACGGCGTCTCTCATAATCATATAGTGGTTTTGGGACATTGAACCCCACATATCAATCAATCAATCGGTTCACGTCACTATAAAGAGATCGACCTTAGAATAAGTAAAAGCTCCACCCACCGTAATCGGGCCATACACGTAGACTCGCTTTTCATTGACTTCGAAAAAGCTTTTGATAAGGTGCCACATAAAGGCTTGCTATTCAAACTTTCGCGGCTTAACTTGGCTCCTCTTATTTTCTGTTGGATTAAGGAGTTCCTGAATAACCGACAGCAATTTGTGAATGCAAATAATTCATCATCAACTTCATCCCCCGTCTTATCCGGAGTGCCACAAGGCACTGTATTGGGTCCACTCTTTTTCCTCATTTACATCTTCACTTACATTTCCTCAAACATATGCCTGCTCGCCAACGACTGCATTTATCGCCCGATCAACGACGTTGCTGATAACATAGCGTTCGAAAACGACTTACTAAAATTAGATAAATGGTGTAGTGATTGGTTGATGGTGTTGAACACTAACAGCTCTGGTTTCATTTAAGACGACTTGACTACCCGGCATTCAAATATTCTTCTAACGGCAGCTTCATCTCCTCAGAGCCTAGTGCTAAATACTTAGGTATTACTCTTCATAACGATCTCACTTGGGCTACTCACATTACCAATACTACTAATGCCGCTAACCGTACTTTAGGTGCTCTTAGGCAAAATCTATTACATGCATCTCCTCCGGTGATATATTAGCTTATAGAACACTAATCCGACCAATTAGAGTATGTTTTGTTTAGTCTGGGATCTCCGTGAACGTGTTCTCACTCCTCGGTTTCATACTGATTCTATTAGATCTGAGAGATTTATTTATTCTGATTATTCTTACAAGACTTGTGTTACTAACTTAAAGAAAAAGGCAAGGTTAGTAAAGGTCCTTGAAAACCCTCAAGTTTGAAACTTGCATATTCAAGGCCCTTGAAAGTCCTGGAATTTTTTGCCATCCTTGAATTTCCTGAACAGTGCACTCTATCGACATTGCGACCTCCTAAATGCGGTACATCGGAGTAAGAACCTGTCACACTCCATTTTCGAAGCAGTAATGGGGCGTGGGTGCGCATGATCAGATTTTGCAAAAGTGCATGTGAAAAAAAAGTTAGCTTGTGGGGAGGGTGAATCAGTGAATGTGATAGCAAAAAATTAGAATGTCACACGAAGGACAAGCAACCCCATACATGCAACGCGTCGCTCAAGCACGAAGGACGCACGTAAAGAAAGTGCACAGGACGAGTGCTGATGAATGACTGTCGTAGCTCGACACTGGAAGCATGCTGCCTAAACAAAGAACACATATATCCACAGGATGAGTGTAAATTGACCACTTTCACAGTAGTTACTTCTTGGTTGTTGAGCTACGAGCGTCAACTGTGCACGAGCTGGCACTCTTGATCGGGAGGTGCCATCAAATTTCAAGGCTAGAGCAAACACCTTGTGGGTTTAAGAATATATTTTAAGTCACTTCCCAGGTGTACCCAAATGCTCATTCTCCTCATCGAGGCCCATCGGGAGTGCGTCCAACGCTGACTTAGCTCTATGGGAAGGGCAATAAAAGTTCTACTGATGTTACACCAGATCTGTAGTCAGCTGAGTGACTTACGGACTTCTGCCCCTTACATACTGGCAAAGCATCGCGGCTGCTGCAGGTAGCGGCGAGATTGTTTTGTAGCTGCTTGTGTAGCACATGTGTGCGAGTGCTGACAATACTCAGCCTGACACGTGCACAGCTTTGTGACCACGTGACTAAGTCAGATACACTGCTATGTACCTGCACAACTCGGTCCCCACAAACAGGAACTGAAAATTGTCCATAACAAAAAGGCGACAAATTATATAGTGAGAAATAATGAATCTTGGTGCGTGTAGGACAACTAACTGGATTCGCAGAGAAGGCAAGTGAGTTAGGGGGAGACGGAAGGTTAGGTGGCCAGATGAGATTAAGAGGTTTGCTGGTATAAATTGGTAGCATCAAGCACAGGACTGGGTTAACTGGCGGAACATGGGAGAGGCCTTTGTCCTGCAGTGGACGTAGTTGGGCTGATGATGATGGTGCATGTATTGTGGTTATTGGAGCTTTAATTAAAGCTTGCAGCAAAGAGCACACAAGCCACAAATATTGTCGCACGACCCCTTTAAGGCCTGACTACTGTTACGAAGGCGCGACGCCAACGCGGTCCCGAATGCGCCACTGCTCCGAACTCCGCCACCAAGGTCCCAGCCGTTTAGTAGCATGTGTTACTCAGCTCGCGACTGCTTCTGCACACAGCTGATTCGTCCCGCACTGCCATGCATCTGCAATCATTTTTTATCAAGACTGCCATCGAATGAAACAATCTTCCCCCAGACAACGTCTTTCACACCAGCTATGCTCACTTCATGAACTCCGTTGAGTCACTTTTGTTTGTTTTTCCTACTCCTCATGTAAAACCCAGTAATGTGTGCAGGGTTCTTGAAATATTTCCAATAAATTATAGTCCCAGTAAGAGAGAAATTGCATATATGCTCCATCATATAGCATTAGCTTGTTCCCTTGACCTCGAACACTTGACATGATTATGATAGATCTGCTAGTACCACGGCTGTACTCAGGAATTTTTGTCGAGTGGTGTGTGTGTGTATGTAGAACAGTTAACTTTGGCGATTAGTGGTGGAAGTGAAGGCATTACTTTAGTATAACCCGGAAAGTTCAAGCGCGAAAACTTTTAGGGGGTGATAGAACCACCTCAACTCCCCCCCCCCCCCCTAGTTACAGCCCTAGTCAGTACAGGCACATGTTCATGTTGGTGGTATTATGAGACACTTTCTGGCAAATAATGAGATATTCGAAAAATATTGCTTTGCCAAATATCTGATTGCCACGTTCCTTCCTCAAGTTTTATTGCCTTGTTGCTGTATGTAATTCGGAGCAAAAACCACGCCTGCAGTGTTCGACAAGCTTCGGGGCTGTAGTAGATCATTTTGTTGAAATTCTCGTTTGTCATGTGCAACAGTTTTCTCTGTTGCATGTTATTATGACTCTGTCAAGAGAAATTAGTTTCGAGCATTCTACATGATAGCAGGTGGCATCGGATAACTCATGGCAACATCGGAGTTTTTGACGAGCCGTGGAAGCACAATAGGTGGAATCTCAACCTATAATTACCGCAGCGCCTGCATTGGACCTCATCTTTTGGATTTATGCAAAGCATACAGTAGCATTTTAGAGTACTCTGTCCGCCCAGAATGAAATCATGGTCTCTGGTTTAGTTCTGAGCTTCAATAACATTGACTTTTTACGTCACATAAACTATTTTTTTCTTGTACTGCGAAATTATACCAACATTCTTGCAGCACTTTCCATGTCAAAGTGAGTCCTTTGGCTCTTGTAGTTTGTATGAATTGTCAAAATTCAATCTAACAAACTTTTGACTATGCGAAATAAATTGCGAATATTAAAGGCCGAGGGCCCCGCCGCGGTGGTCTAGTGGCTAAGGTATTAGGCTGCTGACCCGCAGGGCGCGGGTCCGAATCCCGGCTGCGGTGGCTGCATTTCCGATGGAGGCAGTAATGTTGTAGGCCCGTGTGCTCAGATTCGGGTGCACGTTAAAGAACCCCAGGTGGTCTAAATTTCCGGAGCCCTCCACTACGCCGTCTCTCATAATCATATAGTGGTTTTGGGACGTTAAACCCCACATATCCATCAATTAAAGGCTGAGGTCTAACTGCGTCAGCATGAGCACAGCATGGGAGAGAATTTTCCATAAGCTTTACTTGTATAAAATAGAGTGCCCCTAAAATACAATGGGAAAAGGAAACAGAAAATCCACAACATTTACAACACGGTTGTCAACTTCGAGTAGTTTGTGTGTGAGGAAAGGGCCACTGGTGCATAGTGGCACGAATCATGCTGAGGGAAAAGACAGGTGTGCCCATTTTATTGTTTGCTTTTCTTGAACTGCTATTGAGCTGAAAGAATTGCAATTATCTTTGTTGTGAAGTTTGCTGTGTGAATAGATAGATAGATGGATAGATAACTTCACTGAGCATTGAGGGAGAAGAGGCGGGTGGCACCTCCCTCCCTCCTTGTGGGCAGCTCCCACTTTAGAACAGGCGGAGAGCACCTGCCCGCGGCATCGTGGGCCCCTTCTATTGGCTGTAATTGACGTTTGAAATACGTGCTTTTTCAGTGCCTATATTTTCATCGTGTACCGCTCACTGTCTCCTACAGTGTTCTCTAAACGGGCCATTCAAGCAAGAAAGAACGAATAAATACCTTTACTTGATATGAATGATTAAGATAGTGTTGCTTAGATACTGTTGATAAAATAAGCTTGTGCTAAGAAGCTAGCCTCTAAAAAGTGCCGTTTGTTGTTCAGGTTAGAACAGCTCTTTTGTTTCTGCAGGTACGACATCTGAAAGTGCCGTTGCCGAAAGGAGCACGGCATGCCCCTCTCTTCACCTGCGGTCCTTAATGCCTGGCACAAGCTCTGGAGCTAAAGGTGGCAATGATGAAGGTCCTGACATAATAATGGAAAAACGAAGCTTCAAGCCAGGCACTACAGCAGACGAAATAATCACTATATTGTTAGATGATCGGGAGCACCTGCCTCCTCCAGCAAAAATGTCAAAGCATTAAAGGGATAGTGTAGTAATGGGAGATGCTACTCATGAAAAAAATGCAAGTTTTTTTTTTCAAGGTTACATAATAATTCTTACCAATTTCACAGGTTTAGGTTCTCTGCTCGAAAAAAGTCAAAGTTGTAAACTCTGTGGTTAAAATAACAAGAGATGGTTTGACCGCTTGCTCAGCAAACATTTTTGTTTTTTTTAGTAGTATTATTTTTGAACTACTTTTTCAGATTGGCTTCATTTTCATTTTAGTTTCATTTAAGTATCCTGCCGCCTGGTTCTTGGCCCATCCCCCTCTGTGGGTGAGCGCCATCCATGAGAGGTCATCATAATCATCACTTTTGAATAGATTAAGACGGCTCTAAATATAGATAGAGCAACTCACCGTAGAACTTATTACAAATTGATATTGGCACATACCCTATATAAAAAGTAAACATTTCATTGCCTTAAGATACGGATTAAAAAGAAACTTTCTTTTTTTTTGAGTAGAATCTCTCCTTTGTATGTTTTGTGTTATTTTGTGTTATGCATGCATGGAATGTTGCAAGAGACAATATTCTATGCAAGTATTAACCGTTGGTAAAATTTCCTATTTGTGTCAATGTGTCCATCGATAAATCTAACCAAAACTTTCCAGGGGTACAGTTGTGCTGAGGTGCTCCCAAACATTTCTGGGACATAGTGCTTCCAATAACTGCAGCTGGTTTCAGTGGCATATTGTCGTTTGGGTTTACATTAAAATGTTGGCATGTCCCACAGTATTGCCCTGATGTATTTCATTGTTGTTTCACTGAAAATGGTTTTTGATCAAATAAGGTGGCTATTGAAACTAAATAGAGCAACTCGCCATGAAACGTGTTACATAAAAATTGGCATACAAACCTATGTAAACGGCAAGTTTCATTACCTTAAGATAATGCTAAGGGACTCGCTTGCTTGATTCTGTGCCGACCGGCTGTGCCCTCGCGATCTCCGGCGTCAGCGTAGCTTTAGCCGACTAGGCTCGCCCTACGTCATCTGACGCCGACGACTTCAACGAGTGTAGCTCTGACCGACTGGACTTGCTCTACGCCATCTACTGACGCCGACAAGAGCTCTCGCAAGTGTGCCCCGTGCTCGGACTCCTGTGACCGTGTTTTCATCTTTCCTATCTCTCCTATCGCCTCAGTTTGTTGTCGCTCGCTCTGGCTTACCACCTCACGTCTTTCTCTTTTCTACACCTTTACTCCTACCTTTTTTATCCCTCCTCACCCCCATCCCTTGTGAGCTACTGTTGAGGTGTCGCTCACTGAAGCAGACAGTTGCGGGGCTCACTTTTCTCTTCCTTTCTCTCTGAAGAATCACATTAAGATGAGGCTAAAAAAGAAACTTTTTTTTTTCAGGCAGAATTTCTCCCTAATATTATTTATTGTATGTTTTGTGTTGCTGCCTCTACTAGTATTTAGTGGAGGCAGAGGACAAAAGCTATTGTATTGAACTACCCCAATTAATATCATATATCTTTCCCTTGGCAATTTCCTTTTAAGATCAATATATCCCCAGTGCGGACTTCTTAATCATGCCAATTTTCCACATATCGGTTTCACCTTCCTTCACCTTCTTCTTAGCCAATAGTTCTTTTTGGTTTGGCCCCCTGCTGTTTTCTAAGTATTTGCCCATCAATTTATTTGTTCGCTTCCTCCATCTTGTATCGACATTCTTCATGTACAAGTAGCTGAAAACCTTCCTAGCCATGTTTGGTACAGTATCGCAAAAGGTGAGAAGGAGACTATAGCATAGCATATGGCACAGGTAAGTGGAGGCAAGCTGGTAGCTGGAGACATGCAGGTGGGCAAGCAAAGAGCAGGAGCGGCGGGTCACAGGTTTTCGTCAGACGTGAGAAAAGGCAATGTGCATACAGCTGCACTGAATGCAAGCAGTGTGATGTTAGTAGTGATGTCGTCGACCTTGGTAACATTAAGCCAGTGAAGCTGGCTTCCTGCTCCACTGCGTACTTGTGTTCATATCAGTTAAAACCGCACATCATATTTAATTGATTCCCCATCCGTCTGAAAGCATTCACTGTCCGTCATGCCTTTCGGATGGGCCCACTCATGACGAAATAATGTCATGTGATGACATCATCATGAGACATCTAAGACGCTTACAACTTTTTTTCATCACTCACCACCAATGCCAAAAGTCCCTTTTCATGTTAGATGAAGCCTCTATGGCCCTTGCGCGCTCATGAAAAATTCAATCGATCGATTCAAGGATATCCCACTTCCCTCCTACCCTTTACCCTGAAAAAGCCTGCGCGTGAGACAGATCTTCACGGCTTCTTTCTTGCTTGACAACTGGACATGTGGCAAGTGAGATCTTGCTTCAGTTTAAAAGACTGACCGGCAGTGCACACACAAAAATGGATGTTCTCCAGTGTAGGCACACTTGTGCCGAATGAAGTCTAGCTGCTGTGGAAAGGATGCGTTGCATTGGGCACAAGAAAAAGAACACTCTTCTGGGTGGAAGCTGCGCATCTGGTCTACACTCTAAAAAATATCTAGTCAAAAGGGTGTCTTTTTGTCCCACAATAATAGTCGTCATCAGGCTTGCGTGCGCTTCCTTTCTTAATAACTCGGCGCTGGCCACTTTCCTATCGAGAATTCAATGTAACCTTGATAATGGGCATGTTGATCGTGACCGGAATGTACTGGGCGCGGGGCGATAGCGCAAGGATGGGACGCAATATAGATGACGATTATTGTTGTGAGACAAAAAGACACCCTTTTTACTCGCTCTTTTTTAGAGTGTATGAGGTGCTGTTTGAGCCGAAAAGATGCATCGCAGTAGTCACAGGGAAAGGTAACTTAGAAGTGTGGCAGCTTGGGCTAGTTGGTATGGCATGACGATAGTTATAGCGCGAGAAGAAAACGACGACACAGAGACAAGAAGGGCAAGTGTCGTCGTTTTGTTCTCGTGCTATAACAATCGTCACAGGGAAAGGGTCGTTCTCTTGTATGGGTTCGTATGTGATGTACGAGACTGGTCTTCTGAGGGAATGCAGCTGGACACAGGTGGCAGTGGTAGGCACGCTCCCTGTGTGCATGCGCGTGTGGCAAACGAGTTGTCCTTTCTTTGTAAGGGTAGATGTGCAGTGGACACAGGTAAAAGGACGTTCTCCTGTGTGGGTGCGCTTGTGGATGTTTAGGTTATAGCGGTCACTAAATGCAGCCGGGCAGAGGTGGCACTGAAAGGGGTGCTTGCCAGTCTGCTTGCAAAAGTGTCTTCTCATGTGCGACTTGTAGGTGGTCGCATAGGTGCACTGTTGGCACGAATGTACCCCATCCCAGACGGACACGAGCGAACTGTACTCCTCCCCGGATTCTGAAGATGAAGAGCCTGAAATGCCAAAAATAAGACAAGGAGACACTGTAGACTGTGTGTCTCATGCTACATGCGACTCACCACAGCACCACATTGGGTCCTCCATTTAAACTGAATATTCTCCCGTCATGAGAGATGAAGTGCACTTTTTGCATTTGGCTGTATAACATCAGCCTTCCTGCAATGCTAATATACACATACTTAAGTCCTGTATATTATCCAGGATTGATGCAAATTTTGAAATACTAAATATTCTTCGATTTGCATTACAAAACTGACATTATCGCCCCCATTTTTTAATTTGTAGGCTTAAATATCTATTTCTCACGTTAACAGAGCTTCGTAATGCACTGCAAGCACTTCGGTAAATTTCTATTGATTTTTTAAAACATTCCATGTTTTATCACATTTGGAAAATTTTCGAAATAAATAAAAGTACTGTTATAGTATAAAGTCCATATATAGGAAGATTTCTAATGGGCTGGCAGTGTCATTCAGGTGCTCCCAAAATTTATGCCCAGACGATTCAGGGGGTAACTGGAATATAGCCTATATTTCAAACTTAAGATGAGATTTATTTTTCTTTAAGCCATATTTACTGGCGTACTAAACAAAATTTGAATAACCCAAGTAAAGTTGAGGGACAAGGAAATGTGCAGCTGAGCTGAAATTCATTATGTAAAAAAATTTCATGAAAACTTTCCCAAGATATACAAGATCTTCCATTATTAAAGAAAATGTCTCGGCGCTCCGCGAAGCGGTAACTGGTGGCGAGATTTGGAAATGCGGAGCATGCGCACAGATTCGCAAGGGCGGTACTTGCTCGCGTCGTCTGCTACTTCCCCGCCCTACGCTCGGCGGGCGCCAGCGACACGCTTGTTATGCTCGCTGCATCGGTCATCAGTTTCCGTGTTTGTTATCAAAAGCAGCTGGCTGGTTCAAGCGGAGTTTAGAAAGCTTACGATTACATTTTTGGGGAGCACGCACACCAAGCTTTGCGAGTGATGGGTTTCGTTATCGCACACATGATTCCACAGCTGGGGGCGTATTTATTTTCTGATCGCATTTCCGGCGGAGCTAGCTCTTAGAAGCAGCATGGCTAGAGTGCCTCAGGACGAAAAGCTTCGAATAATCGAGCTGTACATCAAAGAATGCAGCCCGCGTGCTGTCGCTGCCGTCGTGAAAAGGCCTCTTAAGACCGTAATTAGAATTATTCAGGCCTTCAAATATGAAGACAGGATCAAGGACGCCCCTAGAAAACTAAGGCCACGAGTGACAACTAAAGAAGACGACGTGAATATCGTGGCGTACGTCGCTTGCAACCTTCGAGCTTCAGTTAGTGAAATACGCCAGTGCTTTCAACTGACCGCTTCAAAAACAACTGTGAAGCGGCGGCTGGCTGAAGCAGGACTGAGGAGCAGTATGACAGTGCAAAAGCCGCTGCTGACTACCATCAACAAATCAAAGCGCCTGTCATTCGCACAACAGCATGAAGCCTGGTCCGCTGACGATTGGAACCGAGTGGTCTTCAGCGATGAGTGCATATACACGACCAAATGGGATCAGCGGGCTCGTGTCTGGCTTCCAGATAGAACTAGATGTTCAAAATCTTGTGAGATTTCCCCTGTTTTCTAACCTTGCAACGATTGCCATAGTAAAGCAATGTGTTAATTTGAGTTTAAGCGCGCCGAAATCGAAAACAAAACACAGGTCTCACAGAAGCGCCGCGATTTGAACTCCATTAGAAATTATACGATACTTGTCATACACCCGTTGTGCTACATGCGTGTGTTAGAATACATGCATACAGCAGATATATTTTTCGGAGGACGATATCTTTGATTTTGAAGTAATCCTAATAATGCCTGGTGATTAACGCCCCAAATACACGATATGATTATGAGGGATACCAATGGGGAGGGCTCCAGAAGTTTGCACCACGTGACCTGGGGCTATTTAGAGTGCGGTTATATATAAGTGAACGAACCACAGTATTTTCGTCTTGATAGAAGTCTTAGGTTTGCTGTTTCGTCTCGTTGCTTTCATTTTAACCTGATTGGCATTACAAGACCTGAGTGCTACGCTATACAGCCTTGTACAAGTTATTTTATTTTTCGTTGTGTTTGTCCCTACTATAGGTTCACGCCTGAGTATGTGCAGTGAGTAGCAGCAAGCAGTCGGACTGTGGTGAGCGTTTAGGGATGTGTCACGCGTGAGGGCCTCGGACCCCTCGTGCG